ATATCAATGGAATTATTACGCATTGTATGAACTTTTCTAGGGTTTTTTTATTCCTGAGATTTATCCATCTTATTGATGTAACTGGGGAGGTTATCAGGGGGACATGTTTCACCATTCCCACAGCAAGAGCTGTTTTCAAGGACCTGTTCTTGAGAGATTAAGGTGTTGTTGGGCCCATCTGTATGGTACATGAGACTGAATCCCATTAAGGCCTCTACATAAACTTTTAAGATTCTGGTGGGAAGGTGTGGAGAGTTACTTGTCTTGTGGCTGCTCAAGACAAGTCTCATATATAAGTTCCTTTGCTTGTTAAACTTTCTGCCTACTGACCTGGAGTATTTGGCTTCTTTCTTTGGTCACTCCTTGCCCTCCATGAACAGGGGCCAGTTTGTGAACTAACAGTCATTTCTTTCTTTTCAGTGCTATATACTATTCTAATTGTTTGATTATTCCCTGGTTCATCCAATCTATTTATGATTGACATTGTTTACAGTGGTGCTTTAAATATTCTTGTACACATTTTTGAATGCACACAGAGAGAATTTTCTCTAGCATATTTAACTAGGAGTAGAATTAGTGGATCATAACATAAGCACATATTCTACTTTACGAAGTGATACCAAACAGAAAATCAAAGAGTTTTACCCATTTACTCTCCCACCAGTACTGGATGAGAGTTTCCATTGTTCTACAGCCTCACCAACACTTGATATTGTCACACTGATTTTTTTTCTCTGTCTGATGCATGTGTAATGATGTCTTATTTTTGTTCTAATATATATTCATCTGGTTATTAACAAAGTTGAGCATCTTTTGAAGAATTTATTGGCTATTTGAGTTTCTCCTTTATTGAGTGCTCATTCAAGTCTTTTGCCCATTTTTTCTACTGGGTTTTTGCCCCTTATTGATTTGAAAGATTTCTTTTTATACAGCTTGAATATTAGTAGATTATTGATTATTTGTGTCGCAAAAATTTTCTCTGCTTATGGCTTATGTTTCATCCTCTTTATGGTATCCTTTCAAGAATAGATGATATTAATTTTCATGTTAAATTTTCTCTTCTTACCCTGTTTGTGCTTTTATATCTTAAGAAATCCTTCTAACATGAGGTTGTGAAAATATTTTCCTATATTATCTTCTGAGAAGTCTATAGTTTTGTTTTTCATGAGTATACCTTCAATCCACATAGAATTTAATTTTGTGGATGATAGAAAGTAGAGGTTAAGTTTCATTTTTTCCTCTGTGGATAAACAGTTGGCCCAGTACCTCTCTTAGAAAAGTTGAAAAGTCTATCCTGTCCTCATTGCTTTGACTTCTGTCATAGGTTAAGTGCACATCTACGTGTGGGTCTGATTATGGGCTCTTGACTGTGTCCCATCAATTTTTTTGATTCCTGTGCCAGTTCAACACTGTCTTAATTACTGTAACTTTATAATACATCTTGAATGACAGTTTCCTCACCTTTGTTCATCTTTGAGTGATTTGCCTTTCTTGGTCTTTTGAATTATTAGAATCAGATTATCAAGTTCCATTTAAACTATTTTAGAAGAATTGATGTGTTTTTGATTGAGTTTTGTAATCCAATCCTTGAGTTTGGTCATCTGTTTATTTGAGGATTCTTTAGTTTCTGTAATGGACAGAATAGGCCAGGTTATGTTGTAGTTACTGCTAACCTTGAAAGCTCAGTGGCTTAACACAAGGTTTATTTCTTGCCTGTGCTACATGTCCATTGTAGGTCAGCTGGGGATCCACTCTGTGTCATCCTCACTCAGGAACCTGGGCTGATGAAGCATCAACATCTGGTTGTAGGGGTGGTGGGAAAGAAAGATCTCTGAATAGCATGTGGGTTCTTAAGGCTTCCACTCATCTTTGTTCATTCAAAGCAAGTCATGTTCGTCACACCAGGAGCAGAAAAGTATATAGGATGGAAGAAAACCAAACATAATTGTGAACAACAAAGCATCTTTCAATCAAGGTACTTTTATAATTTTCTCTATAACTATCTTGTTATATTTATTCCTAGATGCTTCATATGTTTGACGACATTATAAATGGTTACAACATTTAATTTTCTATTTGCTCCTGGCATATGAAATGCAATTCATTTCAGTATGCTGATTTTTATTCAGCAACTTTGCTAAACTGTCTTATTAATTTTAATAATTTATCTGTAGTTTATTTAGGATCTTCCATGTACTGGATCAAATAATTTGTGAGTAATAACACTCTCATTCTTTCTTTCTATTTCTATACCTGTTATTTTCTTTTCTTGTCTAACTGTTTTGGCTAGAATCTCTAATACCATGTTGAATGAAAATAATTATAGCAGACATCATTGTCTTCTTCCAAATATCAAAGACAAAACTTTTCATTTTTCATCATTAAGTATGATGCTTCTTGAAATTTTGTTTGTTTTTGGTAGAAACTCTTTTAATAGATTTCCTACTATACCTATTTTTTTCTGTTGTTGTTGTTTTTTACATCCCCATGACTTATTTATTTTATAACTGGAAATTTGTACCTTTTGATCCCCTTCATCCATTTCCCCTGCCCCCTGTCCCCTGCTTCTGGCAACCACCAATCTGTTCTCTGTATCCACTAGCATAGACCAATTTATGGATGGAGGGACTAAGGATAAATGATTTGTCCAAGGTCACACAACTGCTAAGTGCCAAAGCCAGGAATCAACCCAGGCCTGTTTGGCTGTTCCAAACCTTGAACTTAACATCTGCATTATACTGTCTGTCACACCTCAGCTCACACACAACCAACAGTAGAGGGTCCCATTCCGTGGATGGCTCAATTCCAATCCAAATCTTCAGATTTGGACAGAAGCTCCCGGTTTATAGGTAATGGTTTTTTGTTTCTTTGAGCCTTAACTCTAGACTCATTTTTGACCAGAACTTAAAAATGGAACAGCCAGAGGTAGACAGGACTGGTTAGTTCGAGAGCCAGACCTCTCAAGAGCCATACCCTTCTATCTGGCAGATGCTAAAGAAGTAGCCACAACAGTGAGCAGACAGTCTGAACCTTTCAGGTTTGTGTTTGGATTTAATTCCCTGTTACTAAGCCTCTTTTATGCTGCAAGTAATTTCACGCTTAATGCCTTTTTCTTCTTTTACCTGGAGTAGAAATTCTCCTGTAGATATTTGCCTGTGATAGATGTGGGTAGGTGGAGCTTATGGGGGTTGGTAGGTGTCCTAGGTTTTAGTCAATTTGAAAATTAGTTCGATCATTAGTCATGAATTTTGTCTGGGTGTGAAGAGATCTTTTAAAAAGAAAGAAGTAGTTGGGATTGGCAAACCTGTGCCGTTTTTTTCTTAGAACATTTATAGTGAGAATACTGGAGTTCTCTGCCTTTCCCATACTTGCTATGTGGGTTTTATCTAATGATTCTGGACATCAGGGAGGGGACTATGATTCTGAATGTTGTCCTCTCATTTTAAGAAGTTGGAGTGCCTTGACCCTAGTAGATGATTTATTATCCCCTCAAAAGAGGTCTCTGAAGATAGCCCTTTCTTCCTCCTGCCCCAGGATGAGCTCTTTGAATCTGTGGTGAGAGTCACATATAGAAACTCAAGCATCTTATCTCCCCTCTCATCCCTCAGCTGCTTTCCATGAGAAGTGTCATTGTAGAGACTGTGAGATAGGGCAGTGGTGGGGCTAACCCAGGAGGGGCTGCAGAAAGTAAATAAGAACCTAAGTCTTAAACACCTGGGCTAGAGATACCACATTGTATGTTGTCTGAATTATTGGTGGGAATCATGAGATGAGTAAAGTTTCTGAAGATTCTTTTTACCAGGTTGGTGTCTGTATTTGGTACATTATCCCATAATCCCAAGTCAAAGCTGTCATTGTGTGCATGCATGTGTGTGTGTGTAGGGAAGAGAGACACAGAGAACACATGTTCCTATGATAGCACGTGAATGGATTTGAAGAGAATTTCAACCAATCAGGATATCTTAATCTACTTCTGTAATAGATCATTATTTTAATGCCAGTGTTAGAGATAACTAAAGAACAAAGGCCAAGACTTCTCTAATGAAATGTATCTCTCCAAGTTCTGCTCCTCAGAAGAGTAATTGGTGAACTTGCATTGGTAAAAAGTAGGTGTCTCCTATGGGTGGCAGCATGGATCTGGGTGGATCCAGACCCACAGAGTTCTGAAAGGATGTCAGGATCTTCTTTTTGTAATTTCACGGTGGAAATTGTTCCTGAAGGTGTCCCACTCTAGGACAAATAGCATATCATTAGAAACAATTATACTGGGTGGGGCTCATCCTCATCTCTCCATGCTGGGCCAATGTCCTAACACATGGCTTATAATCAACATTAAAGGTAATGTACCTCTGAACTGCCTTGGCCCTCAACTTGTCCTTTTGAAAGTTATCCTCTTACCTGTTCAAAGTAGTTGAGTTGTACATCCTTTTGATTAATGAATGAGAATTTGCATGAGATAAAGCTGGAAAGAGAAATTGGGTCTGAATCTTAAAAGATCTTCAGTGCCTGCTTGAGAGTCATTGTAGGTTCTGAAGAAAAGGGGCAACTGGTCATAGTGCACCTTAGGGAGCTTAATGTGGCTTAGGCACAAGGGGAAATTGGAGACGGAGAGCCTAGTTAGGATGCTATTAGAATAACCTAGGGAGGAGATTAAAAGGGCTTTAATTAGAGCACTGGGAATAAGAGAATAAACATGGGGGGCACCTGGGTGGCTCAGATGGTTAAACGTCTGCCTTCAGCTCAGGTCATGATCCCAGGGTCCTGGGATCAAGCCCCGCATCGGGCTCCCTGCTCGGCGGGAAGCCTGCTTCTCCCTCTCCACTCCCCCTGCTTGTGCTCGCTCTCTCACTGTGTCTCTCTGTCAAATAAATAAATAAAATCTTTAAAAAAAAAAAAAAGAGAATAAACATGGGAAATACTAAGAAAGAGAAGAGGCAGAACTTGGAGAGGTGGGGAGTGTAGTGGACACAATATTTACTTTCTATTTTATTTCTTCCCAGTGAATTCCTGGTTTGGAATGTACTTCTCCTCCACCTAATCCTGGACTTCAGGGGGTAGGAAGCTGACTCCATCCATCCCAAGCACCAGTGAGTAGATCCTAGTTAACCTATAATTATTTGCCAGGGATTGGTTTAGAGGTGGGCATGTGTCCAGGTCTAACCAGAGAAGTGTGAAGGAAGCTGTCCTTGGGCTTTGGGAAATGTTGCATTTATTTGTAAGAAGAAAATACTGTTAGATGTGTCCCACTTTCTTTCTCTGGATGTTGTCGTGTCTGGATGTGGTGTCTGAATCTGTGAGTCGCCATCTTGTTATCAGACAAAGCACGGAGGATGGTTGAGCCAAGGGAATTCAGAGAAGTGAAGATGGAGCCTTAAAGATGAATCTTTGAATTTCTTGTTATGTGTAATAATACATTTCCTTATTGTTTAAGTTCCCTAGAGTCAGGATTTTCTGTGGTTGGCAGCTGAAGCCATCTTGATTTAGTAAGAGAGATGAGAAGTTCAAAGGGAGGATAAGGTTTCCCCCCTGGAGACTAGGAGAATGGTGATTCCTTCATCTTGTGGTGGACAGTTCTTGGACTAGATTCTGTGAGATCCAGGCACAAATTGTTGTTCTTCTGCTTTTATCTGCGATTTTGGAGAAACAGCCTAACTCCTCTTAGCATGTTTTCTCTTTTCCGGAAATATGATAATTATGCATGTCCTCACAGGGCTATTGTGAAGACAGTGACATAATGCATATGAATGCCTGTCACCAGTAGGCACTCAGTAAATTTTGATTTCCTACTTGCCCAATTCCACATCTGCCATGTGGTTCCAGAAGAGTAGTTTCTTCCTCAACCAAATCTACCAGCCAGTTGTCATGGGCCCCAGCCCCCTTACACAATGCTCACAAAAAATAAGTGATCAATGAGGACTGACTGAACTGAAATGAACCAGAGGTTAGGGAGCAGAGAAGGATGAAGTTCATGGTTTTAGGGGGGAGGGGATTCATGGGCTAGGCTAGGAGTAGTGCTGAGCATAGTTTTGCAAATGATTAGTTTAACAGGATGGTAAATATCAAATGACGGATAGTAAGCAAGCAGTTTCAAAAGGCCAAAGTGGAGTCAACCAACCTGTTTTGTTTTGTTTTTTCTGTTACGACAGCACCGTATTTGAGTGGTTTTAATATTAATTTCAGTTTTAGGTGGCATTGGGAGGCATACAGGAGGGAGCCATGAGAGTGCTAATAAACCTTAGCGTTTTTTAGCTGGTACAATAAGGGATTAAGAGACTTGGGATTTGAGTTCTGTCTAATAGCCTCTAAATCTGCCAAGGTAATGAAAAGCAAACTCATTTAATTGTTTAACATCACGTAAGAAAAAAATTTAACGTCCTTGTTCAGTTGGATGGGCGGCTTTGGCATCACACAGAACCAACCTTGGTCACCCTTGTGTGGCAGAAGCTCAGTCTCAGCTCTGGATGACACGTGGCAGGCCAAGATCTGGGGCCCAGGAGAGAGGCTTTCCATGTGGCAGGAAGCAGGGACCTGGGGAGGACTTGAATTTGTGTTTGTGGTTAAAGCCCTTGTGTTCAGGCTTTTCATGGCCCGTCTCAATGCCCAGAGGGGCCACAGTACATATATTATACATCCATTGCCACTGCAATAAATATAAATTGAACTCATTTGCTCATTGCTTGGGTGTAGAATGTCTGGATGTAGAAGGACAGATTGAATACTAAAACAAATTAAATGACAATTTCAAATGCTGTAATCATATTTCCTGGTTACAAGGACTTGGGTGGTTTTTCTGCCAACTGAATAATTCTCATTGGAAAAACACAGATGTATGTTGGCAGGTCCTGTGCTATCCCAAACATACTGTGAGAAACTCAAATATAGTTATTTAAATTACCGGATGAAAGCACGAGTCCTCACCCAGCTCAGCTGTTGTAAATGCTTACAAGACCAGAGTGCTTGGCTCGGGTCTTGGATTGCAATTATAGATGGAGGTGAGAGGAGAGTTATAGGAGTTAAAGATCTGGGAAGCTGGGCATAAGTGTTAGCACTTCTTCGTGTTTCCTCTCTCTTCATTTCTGTAGTAATAAAAAGAGAGGTTGGGTAGCTTCCACCTTGGAATAGGGCCTAGTGTCTTCACAAAACCGTGCAAGCCCCCAAAGCAATCCTTTCTTTGCAGAGACCAAGAAACCTCCCACTTCCGATAGGAACTGTAGGTACCATTTATTGAGTGTTTGCTAAGTACCAGTCACCGTGCTTTATCTCGTCTAATCCTGAAAAAACTCTGGGAGGAGGGAATGGCTGTCACCATGTCACAGATGAGGAAGGAAAGGTGAAGAGACGTGAAGTTGCTGGCCCAGCAGGACATGGCCAGTTAAGTAACAGAATGAAGAATTGAACCTGAACTCAGGTTTTTCTTAGGTTCCAAAGCCAACATTCTTAATCCTGGACTAAACTGTCCTAAGCCTACTGCCAGTGAGTGTGCAATGTTGTAAAACCAAGGATGACCAGTAACTCTGAGGCCGTTGGGAATTCCACAGTGCTGGTAGACAGATATTTGGAACAGGGCCATGTGGCTTCCCGAGTGAGAGAGCTGTAGTCATGGGGTTAGCTTCATAAAACGATTGCCTTTCATCCCTCACACAGGGATAACGAAATAATATGGACTATGAAAACTCATCACCTGTTTGGCAAAAATCCCTACAGAGTTAGCCAGAGGAAACCTTAGGTGGTTTGGACTTGAACGAGGCACAGGGAACCATCCTGAGCCTGTATTCAGTTCAGGCTAGCTCCCAGTCCTGCTCATACTCAGGACCCAGTGCATTTTCCTTCCCAGCTCTTGTTTTTCCTCTTGTTAGGCTCCATGTTGGATTCTGTTCCTACCTAGATCACAATGGAGAATATTTGGGTTCTTCCCTTCTGACAACTAATGGCTTCCTTTTGCTCATTCTCAAAAAAATATAAAGAGATCTTACAGGACCCTTTAATCATCATAGATTGATTCCTTTTGCCTTCCACACTTCAGAAAAGGAAATTCTGTCATTTTCCTTGTCTTCCATGCTGTGGTCAACATTCTTTCTGAATCCCAACCTCAGTTTGTCTTCCTGTGGCTTAAGCTCTTTCCTTCTTGTCCTTCTTGCATTATTATTTGGAAACTGGGGTGGCTGGAAGAGATGGAGGTGTTTTGTGAGTACACTGAATCCTGACCCGAGCTCAGCTTTGTAGAAGTTGACAGCCGCTCTGCTTATTAAAGAGAATATATTCCTTGTATGTCTATTTTTATATCCTCGGAGCACTAGGAAGCCTTTGCTGGAAGGGAGGCGATCTCTCTCCAGAGACTGAACGACTTGGAAAATAATGGGCTTTCAAGCATTTCAGGTGCCTAAAAATTGCTCTCTTTTAGAAACGACCTTTATGCTTTTGAAACAGTTAATTGAATAGCGTTTACATTCATAACACTACAAGAAATCATCCAACCCCATGTGCAGTTGTGACAGCTGGAAAGCATTTTTCAGTCATCTTCATGCATCAGACCTCATGGAACCTTCGTTGCCCCCTTCCCCTCTCCCTATAAGCCTATAAAATACATTTTCTTCTGCTGACACTGCAGCATGAACTCTCCATAGCAACTTATTCCCACACCACCTGTTAATAATGCCAAGAGTAATGTATTTAACTCCCTGCATACTGTGCCAAAATGTTTACACAATTCAGCTTATTTCAGACTTTAAAGAGCAGACATAAATCCTAAACTAGCTGTGTCCCTTCCAAACACTCAGGGAGTTGGTTGCAACATTTTTGTGGGTAGAATTGGGCAGATTTTTCCCAACTATTTTTTAATAAAAAGTAAGGTCCTCTTTGGGGCTACTTTGCTAACTGTTTTGGGTACTCAGAAATGAACTGTTCTGCAGAATATTGTCACATGTAAGAGTGCATCTTTTCAGTTAAATATCCGCCTTATTGGCAATGTCCTTAAAACAAGAACTTAACCTTCTAAACGAAAAATTTGTTAATATAAATATCTATTGATGATTTTTATAATGCATCACCTGAATTAATGATAATATGGATTAACATTTATTTTGTATTTTACTGTTAAAATTTCAATTTCTATTTATTACTCTTCTTATGAAAATTCTATACTGTATTGATCAAAATCTACATTTACACCGACAGACCTGAGACTCATACTAGGAAGCAGTCTGCCTAAGATCATATGGCTAGTGGGAGATGGAGCTGGGATTTACACTCTGATCTGTTTGCTCTAAAGCCTAGACTTTGCACTACATGAAAACTTTCTAAAATGGGTTTCTAGAAACATCTCACGAGGAGATATTAAGAGGCATGTCTCTAAAAGACTGTCATGTGGTTAAGGTACCTTGGGAAACTTGATACTATAATCTTCTTTTTGGAAATGCACAATGTACAAGTACACTTAAGGCTCTGACAAGTTCTGCAATAAGGAAACCTGCTTAGTTCTGTGCAACCTAGCAGTTTCCAAACTTGCTTGAGCATGATACATTTTTTCCTGGGCATATCTCTTAACACTCAGAGGAACATGGTCTGTGGAAGGAACTCAGTGTGAGAGACATTGCATTCCGCCAGCCTGCTTCACAGTAAACATTGAATACCCAGGGGCCAGCTCCCCTATCCTCGTTTTTTAGTTTCCAAATACCTCTGACGTGTCTTTTAAAAAGGACATATATAAAACTGTACTGTATCTCCTCTCAGCCATTCCTTACTCATTCACTCAGGGCCTCGCCCTCTTGGTAATACTTTAATCCAACTCCCTAAAAGGGATAATTTTTCCACATCCTTTGAAACAAATAACAAAATAAGGCCTGGATTAAACAAAGCTCAACTGGTTTATTCAGATCCCCAGAGAGTCAAACATATTTTCATTTGAAAACCTTTACTCAGCCCAGCAGAACTCTGTGTTTGAGAAAACATGTCCATGAGACCCCACATAATGACAAAGCCAAGTGAATTGATCAGTTCCTTCAGAAAGCATTTGGTAGCATGTACACATGGTCAAAATCTAAAATGATGTCACTACTGGGTAAATGGCCCAATGAGTAAAGAATTAGTA